CCCTTCGCTCTGCCACAGGTCTGTGGCAGAGCGAAGGGCTATAGTAGGCGCCGTCGAGGTATGGGTTTACCTGACTGGCTTAACACACGCGGTTTACAAAGACCGATTCAATACTCTATGAATCCTGAAGTGCGATGAAAAGTGCGATGAAGCGTGTCGTTGATTTGGAAGCTGTGAAACAACAGTGAAGTGCAGTGCAAGCACGCACGCACGCAGGCACGCACGCACGCACGCACGCACGCACGCACGCACGCACACACGCACACAGTGTTACACACACGCACGCACGCACGCACGTGCGCGCGCACAAACAAACATATATTTGGTATATGGTTTATGCGACTGCATATGCGATGCATGCTCACTGGCACGACAGTCTGTGATCGTGGCCACGGAAAGATCAGCTCCACCAGTAGAGTTTTCACGCCACGCTCAATAAGACCTCAAACGTTTTGCGACATTTTTTCTCTTCTAATACGACGATTCAGTTACACGCGCTTTTCTACAGGAGCAACCATAGAAATATAATTATAGAGACACAGTCTCACTATAGTATAATATTTCTATGGGAGCATCATTGCGCGAGCAAAGCTGTATACTGTCACGTGCGGTTTACCTAAACATGCCTTAATTGATTAATAATCGATAATCGATGACTTTCTGTGTTTCGCGTTAATTGTTTCGCTTGATATTATATACTATAATATACTTCGATCGGCTGTAATTATATACGTGCCGCTATTAGAGTTTTATCCAGGCTATTTAGACTGTACGTGTCTAGTCATTAGCTGCAACGAAACCTTTATATATACAGCGTGTATATAATAGATATAAATATAAGATAGATAACGTGAGCAATAGTGACGTCCAGGTATAAGAAGATACACCGCACGGACGAGTTTTAGCTTGTATCAATAATAACTTGTGTTCGAGCAAATTATATCCATCACATATATGAAAATATGTTAGCTAACAACGCGCGTTATGACAATGTGCCACACCTATACGCTGGACCCCCACTCCCCCACTCCGCTCACACCCACGCCAGTTTAGACGCGGTCTTATCTTAAAAGCGATTCAAAGTCTGAGATCTCTGGCGAGCATTTTAACACAATAGAAACGGCACGGCTTTATTGTGGCGTGATGCTCACGCTGATTAAATATCACGTATAGATGCCCGCGTCAAACACGCACGTACGCACACACACACACACACACACACACACACACACACACACACACACACACAACGAATTCGCACACACACACACTATCATCTGACGTCACCACGGCGCGTTCGCCACGTGGTCGAGGCTCTATCGAGATAACGATAATGATAGCAGAGTGGTCTTCTCACGCGTATCATAAACTTTCTTCAAAATGTTTCAGCTCACGCCGAACGTCGCCGTGCCTGACGTGCTCGAATAACTGGTCCGCAATGAAACCAAATCCGCAAATTTAGGCACAGAACCGTAAACAAAACATCCATAAGCTATTACACGGAATTGACTCACACACAGAAAGTAGTTGTTTGTATACCCGCGTCGTTGCTTTAAGATAATGGTTCGCTTTTCGTAGATGCTCGCTAATGCACCACGGCGCCCGTGTCTGATGATGTTAGTGTACTGGTAACTGCTGCAGTAATCACTTCTCAAACTACTGCAACGCTTCTTTCCTCCTATGCAAATCCTGATGCTTATCGTTGACTTTTACCAGTTTAAATATCCCTACATTCGCACTTAAGATAAAAGCGGACATTGAATAATAATTTATATAGGGCCCCATATATATATATTATATATATATCACCTAATATATATATATATATTGTTAATGCGTGAGGTAGCGAGAATAACTCACGAACTACCGTTCTAAGAAGAGGGACGGCGGGTGTTTATTTATTCCCAGCTTTTCAGCTAAAAATGTGCCTATTCGTAATTTCCTTTTATTTAAAATCGAAATTTCAGCTTTTCCCACGTCTCGGTTTACTTCTATTCCCGATTAAATTTCACTGGTAGTTCCCGATTCCCAGATACATAAAATGGTCCAATCGCGCATCACGAAAATAACCATTCTCTCTCGTCATAGGATTATTTATGAATCCCAGAATCTCTCCAGGGCACGACAGTACCTGCGTTCGGATTTGTCTCGTATGCAGTATTTATAAACCTGCTTGTTCGCTTACCACAAGGCAGTGCAGTCAAAGTGCACCATCATCCACTTGCTAGGGTTAAAGGCGAACGAGTCGGCATACTCTATGCCTTCTGTGTAGCATCTGTACTCGGGACAGACGAACGCCGTGCCCGCATACGCCGCATCAATGTGCATCCATAGACCTTCCTGCTCGCCTGCAACCGCATGCCACCAGGGCGGCGTTAAACACACAAGACGAACAGAGCGCACCTAGCGATGGGAACCGGCATTAACGATGCATTATCGGCAAAAACAGCCACGATATATATTAAGATCTAGATAAAGTTTGAAAAGACCAAATGGCTAGCGAGTCAAATAGGTAGTCCATCTCAGTAAACCTTGCAGTAAATGATTATTTCACGAGGGCAGTCGTCGTCAGCATCACCTTGATAAAAATGCAGCGATTTCTGTTCTGACAGTTACTAAAGCGAAATTGCTCACAAATGACAGTACTTACATATTGGTCCCAGTTCCGTAAGCTTATCAAATGCACAGGCTCCTGTAGTTCCCAGAGTTGCGCATAGCTGTGTCAAAAAAATTGGATTCAATACTGGATCTAATACTCGCAACCCAATTTATTTAATATAAGGTTAAACTTTTCGTGTAAATCTTTATTGTATTTATTGTTCTTTTTTCAATTTGTTATAATTAAAATTTAATATTAATATGTTAAATTAGTCGACGATTCAAGTCGTTACTGCACGAAAACAGAATAGTCTTACAACTTAGTCCACTCTCTCAGTCAGTTATCCATAATTCCGTTATGGTAAACGATAAAATGGCTAGAAGCTATGTTATATCAACGCTCTGCAGTAAGTGTAAATTACGAAGCTTACGAAGAAGGGGATGAATCCTTCCTGTCTGTCAGAGTCGATAGCCTTCTGTAGTTCCTCGCCTCGCAGACACAGTTCTTCGTCGCAGGTAAGGAAGTGCATCTTGACCAGTCCTATGAGGCCGGCCTTTTCTACTGACGAATGTGCCTGCGCAAATATGCAGTACTCCATGCAGTTTCTTTTCCTTAATAAAATGTTGTTATCTCATCTGTATCTGAGTTTCGCCTGTGGTCTCTCTACCTGTGCTTGCGCGCGTGAGTGCGTGCGCGTGTGTTTGAATATAACCCTCACTGAGATAAGCGTGTGTGCAGAAAAAAATTCGAAAAATGCCGGTCTCGGACTTTGCTGTTGGTTTTATTGCAATTGATTTATGCATGAACGTACGCACGCACGTACAAACGCACTCATTCATACTCGTACCCGTGTATGCACGCACACAAACGCACGCACGCACGCACACAAATGATCGCGTATAAGTTAATCTAAGACTGTTCGGCGCACAGAATATCTCAAAGAATTGTCAGTGCTTACAGTTTAAATTCAGTAAAAACATCGGAAGATGTTTTTACACAGTCATTCACACTATTCACTGACACCCAACCTAGAACTTGGTGTAAATCGTCAATCATCGATATTCGAACTCTATATAGACCTCATCTTACATTATCTTCGTCGTTCATTTGCTCTCGCCGATTTCAAAGACTTTATGAAGAAGATGGACGTGCGGATTGTGCTCTTATTAAGTAACCGAGTGTGACCTCTACGTGGCGATCACAACGTGGTACGCAGGATAACGCTCATGTCGCGTCTAGTCTATGTGTAGCTGCTAGTCTATATGTAGCTTCTAGCCTATATATGTAGCTTCTAGTTTATATGTAGCTTCTAGCCTATATATGTAGCTTCTAGTTTATATGTCGTGTCATGTCGCTTACTAGAACTGCCGTCATTATTCACGACCTTGCGCTCAGTTTTCAGGTGATCTATGCAGTGGACGTGCGCCAGCTAATTGAATCAACTTATCGCCGCTGAGGATTCACTAAATCAGGTCAATCAAGCGCCGTCGACTTTCTGCGAGCAATTCTCTATCGAATTTGTAGGCTGGACGTCAAACCGTCCGCTAAACAAATCGGAAATGCGTCGCGACGCCTGGATTGTCGCGTTGCTAATTGGGGACAGCATCAGACGACAGTTATCAATACATGCATTGGCTGTTTACTGTCTTTTTCACTTAGTGTTTAGAGTGTTGCATAACGCGAGTTGTCTGTTTCTCCGTCAAGATCACAATATTAGCGCAGATCTTATAGCATTCTAACTAGAAACATCGTTAGTTACTCGATCTTCGTTCAAGCGCGTCTTGCAAGCGAGCAAGTTGTACCATAAGCATCTTTCAAACAAGATTTAATGAGATATTGAATCCGAATATATCAGTACATCTAAATCTGAAAAATCTAGTTATTTAAACGTGCCGTGTCGAATACACGGTTCTGACGTCGGTTGGCGTGACATTCATGTCGTGAGCATTCGTTATCACGCTCGGAAAAATTCTAAACATGACGTAAATTGAACGTCAATATTCCCCGAGTATACTCGCCGTTTGCGCCGGTAAAAATATGACATGCGATTCCACATCATATTTCAAATTGTCCGCGCAGCAAACATTCTGGAGCGAGTGCTCTCGTACAAAGCAAAACGGATTAGTGCACAGAATAACTCGCTAATGAATATCGGTTTCTATAGGCACGAAGCAAGCATCGATTTGCTGACGAAATAGACGCCAGTTTTCACGCAAGTATCAGACGTAACAGCCAAATCAAAATTTTATGGCAGGCATCAGGTGATTCTCCTCGTATCTTATAACTCATACAGAGTATAGAGCAGGTTGTACATATATATATATTCTATCATATATATCCTATAAATATATCCTATAAGCGTATACATATATATCCTATAATTCAGCCTAGAGCAGGTTGTACATATATATATCCTATAATATATATTCTATAAATATATCCTATAAGCGTATACATATATATCCTATAATTCAGCCCGGTTACAACATTCTGTTAGAGGATATAGAGAGCAGAGCAGGTTGGCATACCTGATCAGAGCCGTATGCAACAAGAAGGGAATTGATCTCTCCGTCTTCCATCTCCGGATATTGCTCCTGCACGCGTCTTATAACCTGTGTCCTGGCCGCCAACAGCGCTACGAACGTCGACTCACTCGCGGTGGTCTGGAAAAAAACCATCGCCAACCCAATTTTTTTTGAAAACTGAACTGTTTTTTAAAATTTCTTTTAATTTCTTTTGAGATTTTTTCGATAATCTTTATCGCTCGCATTGTCAGGTCGTGTAGACGTATTCATGTCTTAGCCATGGCGTCGTAGCGTCTGTTCGACAGTACTAAATTTAACGCATGCCACTATTGTTTCTATACGCCGGACTCCCAATTAACATTATTACAGTAATACAACAACGATGCATATTAAAACAGTGGCTATGGGTAATTAAACAATAATTGTTAGTAGCTTGCAGCTTTAATTATACACACGCTACGATATTCGCCCGGCGGTTGAATGGGATCTATAGAAATAACGCTAAGACTAAATAAGACGCTTGCCTGTATAACACCGCCTCCCCGGACCTCTCTGGCTCCACTGCTACCGCTGCTGGGGTTATGTAGGAAGGCATCCGGAAGTCCTAGCATCTTTCCCAACCAGTCCATCACGATGGTCTCCAGCTCTGTGCAAGCGGGGCTCGAGGCCTGATCGAAATTGGAACGAGTAAGAGAGGAACTATCTATGTACACTGCAATACTTTCCTTATAATGTTTGGAGTAATGATTCTTAATTTTGATATCTAATTTTTCAGCGATCTCAATAATACATGATGCACCGTCAGCATGTTGAGTGTCCCCTTGGCACTTACCATGCATTAGGCATGTTGTGTTATCTATCATGATTATATGAATTACTCATCGGGTTTATACAAAAAAATAGGATTTAACTTGAAAAGTGCTTACTAAGTGATGCAGGAGAGCATTATCCGGTTGATAGGGATTGAATGGGAGTTATGGGGTTATATTAGGAAGTTGCCGGGAGTTAGGTAAATGGTTATGGTATAAAACCCAACCGGGAAACGGACATAAACGGATGATAACCATATCTTCAAAATCATTAACTTTAAGTAGACTGTATATAAACGTACCCAGGTGAAACCCAGACAGCCGATCGCATCTGCCAACATGTCTCCTAGAAGCGAGGGCGGGCTGTTTAATGCTGGGAAGTATGCGTGCATCTGTGGGCTCTGCCAGTGCGTGATCTATGCGAACAAATATCACAACGATGACAAACATTTACCGTGTAAATGTGATCTATTATAGTTTATCAGGATCCTGTGTCCGATGCTGTGTTGTTCTTCTGCGCGATGTACACGCTTGTGAATAATTCAAACATTCTATTTAAAGCATCGATTCGTTTTCGTTATCATTCTTTATTAAGCTATTAGGCATCAATCGTGGTTTTCTTGCTGACATGTCAGATTTTTTCTTTGTTATGCGTAAACAACGCGTGATTGGCTGAATGCAGCACGCTTACCATAGACTAAGAATATTTATATATACTAGAATATTATTCTTAGTCTATGCGCTCACCCCGGGCATGATGACGCGTTCAACATCCCGGAAGATGCTATCCCAGTCTTCGCCTTCTTCCGGTGCATGATCGGGCAATAGTGACTTCATGTATCCTGGCTTTACGGATGGATACACTCTCCGCTTTCGAATTCCCTCCAGGTAATCGGCTATGTAGTCCACCATCTCCTTACCTGCCCAATAACGGCGAGTTTAACGTTAACAGAACGAATTCTGTATTTTTCGGCATAGGCCCTACATTTAATTTGTCGATTCGCTCAGGAATGAGGTAATGATGAGCAGATTCAACTGGGTAAATTCACGTAAATAATCGAGTGATGATGGAGAACGGAATATACATCATTTTTGGTGAAATTTGGGGTTACATTAGTTTTACTGTATGATTTGACGATTTGCATGAACGCGTGAGTGAATTATCGGGACGAAATAAAAAACAAACAAACAAACTGATGCGATAGAAAGCAAAACGTATGCAATAAATCTTCACGTCATCATTCGAGCTAGTGATTTCAACCTAGCTGGCTATCCTCATGTTTTACAACGACAGCCACAACGCTGTCAAACCTTATAAAAATATACAATTTCTAACAACATTCTCAAGAATGTATCTCGTTCAGCTTGCCCCAAAACGCAAAAATTATAAATTTCGAAACCGATACGTTGATATAAAAATAAGAAGTCGTGAATGCTATTGGCGGTTTCTAGTCGCATGACTCACTCTTTCCTCTGTATATAGACTTAGACGTTTCTCGATGAAAAGCTTCCTTTGCAACACCTGATTAATCATTTCGCAATTTCGCCATCCACACTAGCTGTTACATACTCATAACCTGCCGTCTTTCCATACCTATCGAAGCTCCCGCCATGCAGCCACTCGAGATTATGAAATATTATGCCATTAGTGATATGCGCATAGACAGATTTATTGTTTGCTGTTTTAAAAGTGCCATGTGATTCATACATGCCATATTATCGTACCATTTAATTAGCCAGCAGTAATCTATCACGCAAAGTGCATGTACGTGTTGTTGTTTGACAAGGTCGGCGTAAGTACAACAGAAATTTCATTTTATATTTTGTTTGTTTGTTTTTAAGCGTATTAATGGGTATTACCCAGGACGTTCTTGTTGCTCTATCATTGAGATCACAAGATCTACCCGTACAACATAACGAGAGCTCAGCAGACTATTATAAACGCTCTAATAAGTACAGCTTGAGCATTATTTCCCCATGTTAACTCATGTATTTGCGCAGTTTCCATGTATTAGTAGGTGACCTTAATTGTAGTGCACGTATGCAACGCCGTCTTAATGAACGAATTACGTGTAAATCAATGACGTGACATAAATTCACAATTACTACCTAATTAACAATGCTATAGAATATATCTGCTGCACCGGCACCTTGTAACCCTCATATAGCGTGCGAGTTGGGGCACCCAGTGTTTCTCGGGACGTGTTGTAAATCAAAACCCATTCCTGGTAACTATAGGTGTAATGAGACAGTAGTTTGAGAGATGTGAGAGCCACAGACAAGTAGATGTCTCACTTATAGTTGGCATTGATGAATAATGCTGAATACATGTTGTCTAGCATTATCACGTTAGATTAATTGCAATGATATTCCGATATAACGCGTGTAGATTTTCTCACCCATTGCTACCATCCCGCACGCGTCAAACGCCCTAGTGCCAACCGTTGTACAACCAACTAACTGTTTTAAGTTATGTTTATGAGAGTGGTCTGTGTTTTCTGCACCTAATATACACAGACATGTTCGAACGCACAGAGACGCGCAGATATACACGCACGCGTGTGCATAGATGCAGGAATTCCGCTACCGGCACACCGTACACAACCCTAACCTACACCAACGTGTACCTTTACGCGTGCACACTCGCGCACGCTCGCGCACGTATACGAACGCACCCGCACACGAACGCGTACACACTTGCGCACACGCACACGCGTCCGCTCACATGCATGCACGCGTGCGTGCAGGTACACGCATGCATGCACCTACTCGTACGCACGTGTACGTACATGCATGCGTATGCGGGTATGTACTCGTAGCCGTACGGGGCTCGAGTATGAAGGAAACGGACGGAGAAATTGGCATTGGGCGCTTCGAGCCAAATACAGATTATAATACTCTAATTCTTTACCCAATTCTTTACCAATTCTTTACAATAGGTCTAGTTGAATGACAATTGGCATTGTTACATTCAGTTGTTTGCTTCTATATTTATATTAAACATTTGTAACTGTTCCCGCTCTTACTACACGGGACATGCATGCATTCCGTGATTTGATTGGTTAGGCGACCATTTTCTACGTGCCTACGAAGAGTCTGTACATGTGATCGTGAATAAAAATGCATATAACCTACAACCGTCCCGGGCGTATGACAAGTCCCGTATGGTCAGATAGTTTAAATACATGGAATTTGGCAAGACACGCGTTAACTTTCAGTCCGCATTTATATGGTAATGTGTTTGCATAAGGTATTCCCCTAACATATCTATATTATGTTTGTTAATGGAATTATATGCGTGAATTTGTTTTCTCACAATGTTTCACGATTTCGATCAATGTTAGAAAGGAAACGAGAATTGTTAGAAAATATCGACTCGCTCATGAGTTTGTCAATACAATGATTATTTGTTCTTGTGATTCCCTAATGAATGTTTTGTTGTTATCAATAAGCAACACGATTAACATGAACAGTCTAGTACTAGAACGTTTAACGTTGAGCGTTGAGCGTTAGCGTTTAGCATCTGAAATGTTACTATTTACACAACTGTATTACTAATACGCTAATATGCACACGTAAAACTGGAGAATTTTTTCACAATGTTCTTCATATATAATCATTGTACGTTGTTCCTTGCAAGCGCATCTTGCTGGGCTCATAAAAGCGTTCGTTAACCCCCCGAACATAACAACAACAACAACAACAACAACCTGCAAACGTGTTATTATCACGCATTTATACAAACAAACTACGAATCGAATGGTCTTTCTTGAATGACGCGGGCGCCTCGCTCCGAGTCTCGCGGGTATATATATATATATCTCTTGAATGGCGGGCGGTTCGAGTACCGAGTCTCGGTGGTATAATATATAGGTGTGAGGTCACGTGGCGTGTCGTAATTTATCGCGTCTGCGTCACGCACCTAGACGACGCTATCGACGCGGCGGGGCAATCTGTCGTTGACGTCGACTGATTATGGACGATACGTGCTTCGACTCGCCGAAAGTGCACAAAGTCGGAGCGCGCTAATTGCTCGACGGCTCCCCCGTGATTGTCAGCGTCGTCATGTCCGCTCTATTAACGCTTTGTTTTATACTGCCGTGTGATTGTGAGAGAGAAAGCGAGCAACGCTGACCGGCGACTGCATGGTCAACACAATAAGACGTGACGCGTGGCGCCATCGATCGACGTGTTATATATATATATATATATAAATAGTGTTTGGTATGATTTCTCAGTCAATTGTATAGGTCTCTAGGTAATAGAAGTGTTTTAGCAAGTCCAAGCGGACTTGACCATGCGTAACAAAGAATTTGTGAACTCGAAGGAATACCTGCTAATCTGTCTAAGATATTCTTTTTTCTTTTTGCTTTTCTTCTTCTTCTCCCTTTTCTTATTCTTCGCCCCTTTCCTCATCTTCTTCATCATATCTGTCTTCTTCTTTTCCTTCTTGCTTTTTATTCTATACTTGTTCCTTGTCTTCTCCTTTTCTCTTCGATTTCCTCCTCATCTTTCTCCCCCTCTTCCCGCCATCCTTCTTCGTCGTTCTTCCCTATGCGTAGTATACTTCGTAATCGTACGCTTCTTTTTTATTATACACACCAATGTCATCATCGTTGTACTCTTCATCTAGTTCGTCTGCCGCCCCATCATTGCCGCCATCTTTTACTTCGTAATCGGCGTCTTATCTCTGTTATTCATCTTTGTCTTCTATACGCATGATCACTGCATTTAAACAGTTCAAAGTGCATGAGTTGTATCTCTGTGAGACTCCACGTAAATCTATATGATTTTAACGAGAGTTCCTAGTAGAGAAATACGCATGTTCACTATGAACACTGAAAGAAGTTATTGTTACGATTGGCATTATCATAATATAGGCATGCAAGAACCGTCTCCACCAATCTCCGTTGTTACCCGTCAAACGTACGTAACGTGAACTTTCTTGCATGCATACATGATTTGTTATTACCTTCATCGCCGGGAATAGATATTGACTTTGAAATTACCGCGTTATTGTTTTGCTAGCCGTATGTTTACGGTAATAAATGACGCTTACGTCGCTCATTCGTTATTCGAAAAAAAGGGAACGGTTATGTAACGTATATGTGTAGTTACGCGGTAAAGAGTGACTGTCTCGGTTGTCCGACAGAATTATGTATGTAGGCGAGCAGCGACATGTTGCCATATATTATTGTCATGCGTGCGTCTAAGGTAAATAAATTCTTGTTCAAACAGCAGCGAGTGACAGCTTTATGGTCGGTGCGACGTCGTATGGGGGGATCGGTTACCGACGCTGCTCGCTGCAACGCGACGCCACAACAAACACATCGACGGCTCCGCGTTCTTACAGAATTTACCTAATTAGCAGCTGAGCAACACCAATGGTGATGTGCTGCACACACACGCGCACGCACGCACGCACGCACGCAGGAACGCACGCACGCATGCAGGAACGCACGCGCACACGCACGCACATACACCCGCGCACGCGCGCAGGCACGCGTACACGCAGGCAGGAACGCACGCACGCACGCACGCACGCACGTACACACCGACGCACACACGCACGCACGCACGCACGCACACACCGACGCACACACGTACACACGCACAAGTAGGCACATTCGTCCTCCGGCCGCCCGCCACGCACACACGCGCGCGCGTACACATGAATGTCAGCTTATTCACAAACGATGGTTTTGAGATATGTAAATCAAGCTAACCTTTCGCTGACCACTGCACACATGCGCGTGGGTGCGCGCAGCCGTGCATGGGTGCGTGCGCGCCGGCGTGTGTGCGTGCGTGTGTGCGTGCGTGCGTGCGTGCGTGTGTGAGTGAGTGAGCCGCCCGCTGATCGACCTACCAGCTAGAGGAGGACCTCTCCCGCATGACAAATACGCGCCGACCGTGATGCACTGATGGGTTGCGCTATTCTAAATGCACGAAGCGTACGACTTATACGAAGCGAAGTCGACGGCAATACGGTCACAGTAAATTAAAAAAAGTAGTCGTTGAAGCTCATGCGATTCTAAATACAGAGACACGCACGGTCGCGGAACACACAGACGTGTACGCACAAACATGTAGGTACATACGCGCACACGGGCGCGCACGCACACACATAGGCCCTATACGCGCACACGGGCGCGCACGCACACACATATAGGTACATACGCGCACACGGGCGCGCACGCACAAACATGTAGGTACATACGCGCACACGGGCGCGCACGCACACACATAACCCCTGTACGCGCACACGGGAGCGCACGCACATACACAGACATATACGCTCACACAGACGCGCACGCACAAATATAGGCACATACGCTTACACGGGCGCGTACGCACAAACATAGGCCCTATACGCGCACACGGGCGCGCACGCACATACACAGACATATACGCTCACACAGACACGCACGCACAAATATAGGTACATACGCTCACACGGGCGCGTACGTACAAACATGGGCACATACGCTCACACGGGCGCGTACGCACAAATACAAACATATACGCGCACACAGACGCGTACGCACAAACACAGACATATACGCTCACACGGGCGCGTACGCACAAACATATAGGCACATACGCTCACACAGACGCGCACGCACAAACATGGGCACATACGCTCACACAGACGCGCAGCGTGTAAACACACTAAAGTATATTAGGTTGTTAACAGAAATCGGCTTTTACATCTTTTAATCAATCTTAAGCTTTCGGCGCCTATAGCTTTCGTTCACACCTGACACAATTTTACGTATTTATTCGATGAAAAAGTCCAAAGTCATCGAAGAGTAGACGTGGTCTTTTCAGCCCATACTTGAATACATGTTCCACATATGTAACAGCGCGTGCAAGCATTCCTCTGTTTGTGCTCACGTCGGCAGCTGCTGGTATGTATACTTTTCCTATGTCGTCTGTGCCCCACGATGACACGTACTCCATTCTTCGATTGCTGCTATTTCTGCTCGTTCTTCAAATACTGGCGACGCGCGCGTGTGCGCATGCGTGCGTTTGTGTGCGCGTGTGCGTGTGTACATGCGTGCGTTTGTGTGCGTGTATGTGTGTTTACGCGCGCGCGTGTATGCGTGCACGCTTGCGAGTACACGCATGTGTGTGCGTGCGTGCGTACGTGTGCTTGTGTGTGTGTGTGTTGTGTGTGTGTTGTGTGTTGTGTGGTAGTTGTACGTGTGTGAGTGTGCATGCGCGTACGCGTGTGTGCGCGCGCGGACGTGTGTGAGAGAGTGTGTGTGCGTGTGTGCGTAAGTGCGCGCCTATGTGCGTGTGCGTGTTTCAAACAGCGTGCCCATTTGTCTGCGACAGATGATGCTTTTTACACGTCTGCCTGGTGGTCGTGACCGTGAAAAAACGTTCGCACAACCTTCACTACTGATTACATGCAGACGAGTGTAATTTTATTAGAAGAAGCGTACACGAGTTTCAGAATTGCCGCACGCAGGGCGAGTCCACTGGGACATGCCGCACATAACATATATGCCGTAGCCAAATATGTCAACATCGGTGATCAAAAGCTATTTGTTCGTTCTCCTTTTACTATTAAAAAGGTATTATATTTCACTTATTATGTCATTGGTGAGGGTATTCCTATATTTTTGCTGTTAGTATATTTACTCAGTAGCGTTTGTGGTCGTGTGATATTCGCACAGCGCATGCGCCTTGCTGAAACAGTGACGTAATGCAGACGACTGATATATAGGAATGTAATAAATCGCTATATAACTATATATCGCTATATCGCTATGGAACGGTATTATACGGTATTATACGGTATTATACGTATTATACGGTATTATACGGTATTATACGGTATTATACGCTATGGAACGGTATATAGACTTATTGCGAGATCACGTTCAAAATCTGCCAGAGGATATTACGTGTCGCGTAATCGCTACACTAGTTTATTACAGCAAAACCGTAGTAACCTCAAGCTGATTAAAAATGTGGTAAAAACTATGTATATGCAAAATCAAGACCTACCGACGGGTGCACTTGTATCGTCTGACTTATTTCACTTTTTCACTTTTTCACTTTTTCACTTTTTCAAAATTTCACTTCTCCACGTCACGACACAACTAGACAACGAACTACAAAGAGAAACAGTTGGTGTGCCAATCACGTGCTCGTCTTGACGAAATTCACTTGGGCAATCTGGTCGGATTGGCGATAATCTACACTTTACGTTCCTCCATTAAAGCAATTGCTTCAAGGACTTTAACCCCGTTTCTACTTCTGCTCTACCTATGGGCGTATCACCAAGTGTTATTTATCACGCGAACTGTATATCCTTTCGAGTTAATTAACCTCTACCGCTAGTAGTGATGTTTCTTTCGACTTGCCTATCTCTGCTGGTATCTTGGCGAATGTATTGCAATATAAAATCCGACAGTCATAAGTAACACGATAGCATCGAAATATCGTCGATTTATTAGTTTTTAACCACACCGCTGCATGCCGCTGCTTTCAACTTCGCCGTTGCATGTCTGCACATATATAGTGAAGAAAAGATACCAACCTCTTTGCCTATACTCGTCGTAGTCCATGCCTGCGTTCTTGCTGCGTTTCGCTGCCAGCTGTTTGGTTAGGAACGCTTGTTCGACTCGACCCGCCGCGACTCGCACCGCTCCTAGGAACACGCTGAAGCCGTGTGAAGCCAACGACTTGTTACGAGCCTCCAGCGTTGCTGTTGATTGTGCAGGATCCCTGCAAGAATCGCCCGCGGGTTGGAGTGAGGTATACTTCAGTCGGTAGTTTGCTGGGCGTCGTGGTAGCTTCGGTGATGTTAGAGTTAGCTGAAACGATATAATAATATTATTATTATTACTACTGCTACTACTACTACTACAACAACTGCTACTGCTGCTGCTGCTACTACTACTACTACTACTACTACTACTACTACTACTACTACTACTACTACTACTACTACTACTACTACTAGCTAACTGAACTACTAAAAAACTACTCCACTTCTACTACATACTGAACGAACTTCACTCACTACTACTACTAACTGTTGTGCTGCGAAAGGTTGTCAAGATGTCGGTAGGATGGAAGCGTCGACATAACGTAAGAGTAACCAGCGTTGTCGCCTAGATAAACCAGTAGAAGAGGCTTTAGCAGCAGACGTGAGAGAGTCAGAGATAGCCACAGTATACGTAGACGTAGGTCCCGGATTAGTATGTTTCACATGAGACTTTTATTATTAACTACACATACAAATATAGTACATACTAAATACGCTATAGGCAACATAGCCTATAGGCATGCCTATCTCTGGACTGAACTACAGTAAGATCTCTCTTTAAATCTTAATATAAATGTGTCCATCCTGAGCTTGTCAAAAATGCAGCTTATATAGTCTTGTGGCTCGAACCGGCTACTAGAAACTCTGTCCTGCTAAAACAGACGATTGACTGGGAAGCACTAGCGGGATGCCGGTATCGCTTAGGTTTGGCGAGCCTATCCTTTTGCACAGGGCGATGTCCGGTGAGAGCCGTCGTATTGTCGTTTGCGCGTTCGTCAACCAGCTCCATACATGTAAGATCTCTAGGGTGACGTGCTAAGCGTCACGGTCGGAGTTACCATCGTTGCTGGCATACAAGTACACTAGCTACTACTACTACTACTACTACTAGCACTACTACTACTATACTACGCTACTCGCTAACCTACTACTATCTGTACTACTGCTTATCTGGCTACTTGCGCCCTGCTACTGCTAGCCCGCACTGAACGCTAGCTGGCTGGCTGCTAACTCGCTACTTGGCTACTGCTACTTGCATCTACTTGCTACCTACTCCTAGCTACTACTACTACTACTGACTACTACTAGGTAATACGAGCTACTACTGATGCTACGCTGACTGCTACTGCTACTGCTGCTGCTACTGCTACTACGGCTACTTAGCTACTACTAGTCCTACTACTGGACTTACTTCTACTACTGACTACTACTACCTACTGATGGCTACTGCTACTACGCTACTAACTACTGCTAACTACTACTACTACTACTACTGACACTACTACTACTATTCACTACGACTACGACTAGTACTTACTAGCTACTACTTACTATACTACTACTACTACTACTACTACTACGACTACGACTAGTACTACTACTACTAATAATAATATAATAAGTATCAAATGTAGTAAACGATGTGAGTCGTAGATTACAATTAGCGTTATTATGTGGTTAGGGTATAATATGTGTAATACGTGTTATACTCCTTATTGGTTCACTGACGCTTGTTCGCTACTTTACGGCGCATATTTGTAGCTGCTATAATAGACGATAATATTAATACATGTTACGATAAACAGCACGCAAAACTACAAGTTACGAACTCATCGTGGTCTACTACTTCAGCCTCATTGCGAAGGCAAGACTGAAGGCCTTCCGATTTACATTACTGCCCCCATGTTGCATGTAAGCTTGCCTCACTATTACCACGATCATTTTCTGCGGCGTCGTTAAGTGAGGGAAGTGACTGAGAATGAGACGTTGTGTAGTGGTATGGAGATGTAAATGCCATTCACGCCATGTATATATATATATATATATATATATATATATATATATATATAAATGTATTATATATGTATGCATATATACGAATGTGGTAAAGACGAACAGCGCAACAACGTTTGCACGCAAATATTGCATGCAGTCGAGCGTGCCAAAAAAGCTGAACCATTTCAACAGAAGCCGGTATGGATTGAGGTGAAGCCGATAGCGACTAAATTTGAATGCGTAGAGTGCATGAAATCGTGTTTTCCGCGCACGAGAACCTGCATGCAAGCACCGGCGATTATTGCTGTGAACATTAACGGAGCCAGATCGAGGGGAAACACGCGAACCAACACTGACATTCAGATGCAGTACTGACAATACAATCTCATCAGCCGAGCATCTCGTGTATATGAATAATAATAATAATGGATAAATTCTCTTATTTTACCATTGTTCTATAATAACTCACATATATCTATTATATAATGAATTGTTCAATAATATTGTTTTAGTAAGCGTTTCGCAGATATAGCACACCGAGTAAATTAAGCGCGGGTTTGCTGTTAGTGGCTTCCATTAAATGGAGCGTATAATGCACTATATTCAATGCTATATAGTTTTGAAGAGCGTTCGTCGTAAATGAAGAGATTGTATTCTGCAGCACGGTTCCAGCTAGATTTATAATGCACGCGGATGTACACTTTGCTCACGTGTGTTTGCAGAACTCGAGTCCCGAACACTCGTGATTCTCTGTGATGCAAACTTAATTACGCTTCGATGGTGCTTGACTGTTTCATTCTTGAGGGTTTTTGTGGACGGCAGTTGGTTTTACGACTAATCACCGAGTTACGCAGTATGACAGACATGTCGCATATCTAGCCGAGATTTCGCTACGTGTTGTTATTGGGCTTTACTGTCGCTTAACACTTATATACGCGTACTTGACATGTGAAGATATACGCATACATCACGCATGTACGCCCGCGCGCTCACGCACGCTTGCACACCCACGCACGCGCACGCACGCGCACGCACGCGCACGAAGATACACACACGCACAAGATACACACATACCCACACACGCACACGCGCGCGCGCACATGCACTCACACACACACACACACACACACACACACACACACACACACACACACACACACACACACACACACATGCACACACACCAAATCAAACCAAACCGGATACAAGTATACAGTCTATTTTTCGTTATATAACAGAATCAACCAGTAATTGGTCATCATGTTCTAACAAAATCCACGCAATGTCTGTCATGCCAAACTGTACCCAGCGATTCAGTGTCTCCGCGGTATATATATATATATATATATATTAGTCTATAGGTAGTCGTGACCCTTAGCCTATTCTACAAGCAAGAGAAAGGAAAATGTTCGCATAAAAAGTGAACTTCATCTGAATCTAGGCAAGCAATAACAATGTCGAGATGCACGTATAGCCGAACGAAATAATTAAATTAGACATGCGATTCGTATAAAGCGTCTTGTTAGGCACGGCTGCATATCGGAAATCGAACCATATTTAAGGAGAGATGACACCGTATTAACTGTTATAAAACGACGCACGTGCGCCGTAGAATACAAATTAGTTCTATTTAAACATGTTTAAAATCGGCATCGCTACGGTAAAATAGAACAGCTTATTATTAAAACTGTCTACACGTCACGTGATAACACGTCACGTGATAACGTAAACGCTTCTCTGGATTCGATAAATAATTTTGTACCAGAAATATGAAGTGATGAAAACCGAGTAAGTTTTCACCTGAAAATGAGAGAAATTTTAGATCACATAGTATATCGTTCCAGATACTTGGAACAGCAAGACTGCGTATAGAGTTAGGGTAACCTCTACAGCTGTAACTTCTACAATAAATCATTTAACAATCCGGAGTTATAACAAAAACAGTCTGTCAATTTATGTTGTGTTTCTATGGTCTAACGGTTTTATTAGATGAATTATATATTACTACAATATATTATACGCATGGCGCATTAAGACAGTCATATAATTACTTATGTTTAGCTTCAGCGCTATATGTTAAAAAAATAATTAACTATAGAGAGATATATAATAAACGCATATGAGTCCATACAAATAACTTACTATCATATTCAATATTCGTATACATTCTTACTTAAGCACTGCACACGTTGAGGAGTGAGCGAAGGCATACTACCTGTTACAGTGTCGGATGAAGGGTCCTCTCTCTTCTCACCACAACACGTTGATGCGTCTACCGGCAGCAAGTGAATAAAAATCAGAGCTGTTCGGATGATGAGTAAAGATAGGTACCGTATGGGTTTAAATATTTAATATCTACGAGTGTAGTCCTCCTGCAGCCACAACTCAAAGTAGTTATCGTAGAGCCTCATCGATACGAAGTTTTCAAACTGTCCGCACTTCTGTGAGATTTATAATAGCGGGAGTCGTTGAGCGTTGATGACGTATATGAGTGTGTGTATCGGCGGCTTCGGCAGCGCTCGGCAGGTCGCGTTGCAGTCGCGTGGCCCGTCAAGGCGGTCTATCGGGTCTCAGCTCGCAGGGGAAGTATAGTCGTAGGGCTGTGTCGGCGTGCCGTAAGGCGCATGCCCCGCACCACAGGTGCGTCCAATAGACGAGTAGCGCGAGCACTGCAACACTCATGGCGCTCGGGGTTCTTGCTTCCAGCATAGAACGACACCCCGTATGTGCCTGCTCGATGTGCTCGTATATTAATTATTAAAGTAATTAAATATTAAAACAAATGTTTGCGCACGTGTGTGCTTTATTCAGATATGGATGGTATATGATAGATGACAAATCACTGTTATCGTCTTGGCATCGATATATGCCGATCGTATCGTACACATCGGCGATTATCAATATATTATATCGATATTTGATTATTTATATATCGTTCAACATAGTCTTGTTGTTTATAATTGAATACTATAGTTTGTAATGGTTTGATATATTTTAATAAACAGAGTTCGTGTTATACAGTTTTTGTTCTTTTTTTAGTTTTTGGTCATGACACGTTTGTGATGCAGGTTCTCTATTCATTATTGAGTAACGGCGTGTGCATCGGCGCTCTCTCGCTCTACGAAGCGGACATGCAAGTCAAATTATTCTTTCCCTTATAGATGAATATTTCCTATTTTGCTCACCCGAAAACAACGTTGATTTCAGTTTTGCACATTTGCCTAGCATTTCCGACACATGTATAATTCATGTATACGCTTATTATTTAGATCGTGTGTGCAAGAGACTACACGCACCCGTAATATAATTTCGCTCCCGTACATATGTAGCCAAACGTATATAACACATACACACACACGC